ATATTTAATTAAATATATTGAATTAGATTTTTATATTTTTTCTTTCATGTTAAGTTTAGTTAAAATTTTGTAATTTTGTGTATGTGACATTTTTATTAGTTTTTATTGTTTTCAAATGTCTATATAGTTTTATTTATTTTTATTTCAGTTTTAATTAGTTTAGTGACCCCATCCTGGTGGAGAAAGTAGCTAACCTGCTGTACCTGGTGATGCAGGACAACCCTAACCTGCAGCGGCTCTACCTCACCGGAGTTTTCTTCTTCATCATGATGTACACCGGCTCCAACGTGCTGCCCGTGGCACGGTACTCTCCCTGCATCTCAGGCCATGAGAACTAAACTCCTCATAATGTGTTCTCCGAGAAATGCCATTTATGTTTTTGATAACTTGTCATATGCATAAATATGTTCTTCTCTCTAGGTTCTTGAAATACACTCACCTGAAGCAAGCCTTTAAATCAGAGGAGGTAAAGCAGATCTGACGTCTCACACAGTGCAGTTAAACACTGATGACACGGTAAATCTGAGCATGTGTTTGACCCGCAGGCTAAAGGTCAGGACATCGTTCAGAGGAGCGTGTTGGGCTCGATGCTGCCGGAGGCCATGGTGTGTTACCTGGAGAACTACGAGGCCGAGCGCTTCTCCGAGATATTCTTGGGAGAGTTTGACACGCCTGAAGCCATCTGGAGCAGTGAGATGAGGTCAGCTTCTCGTTCCTCGCTCTAGAACTCCTGTGCTGTGGCTCTAGAGGCCTTCTTTGCCATTTCTCTGCATCTCTTTATGGTTCTTATGTGTTTTGAAAAAGCAAAAAAGGCCAAAAGCTCAATGTTGTGCTCAACCACAAAACATTTCAAACAGGAGAATCAAAGTTGGCACACCACAGCTCCAAAAGTGGTGAGAACATAAATATTTTTCTACTTTTGGAGCTGTGGTGTGCCATTTCTTTCATGTTAAGTTTAGTTAAAATTTTGTAATTTTGTGTATGTGACATTTTTATTAGTTTTTATTGTTTTCAAATGTCTATATAGTTTTATTTATTTTTATTTCAGTTTTAATTAGTTTAGTACATCACGTTAAACTAAATGAAAATGAGAAATGTTGCCTTGTTAACCAGCTGAAAAAAAAAATAAAATTTTTTTTTTATTTCAGTTAACATTTATTTTATTCCATGTAACAAACATGTTATGGTTTACTCTAAGCCTGAGGTAAGTTTTTTGCACAGAAGCCTGGTTGATTGTGGACTGTGGATCTAGAGGTGTTTTTGTATTTCTGTGTGTATTTTTATGGTTCATATGTGTTTTGTTCCACTTGAATTTGTCTTTATGAATGCTAAATACTAAAACTAAAACTAAAACCTAAAGTAATATTTCAATTATAAAAAAATATATAAAAATTAACTAAAATATATTTTTAAAATATATTTGACTTTTTTACTTTGTTTCTCTGAAAATTAAAGAGATTTTAGATGGGTAAACCTGTGTTATTAGTATCCTTGAGATACTATTATAGGTTTTGTTAATACTTTGAATTAGATTTTATTTTATACTTTCTGCTTTCAGTTTAGCTAAAACATTTTTATTCATTTTTGTTGTTTTTAAATGTCTATATAATTTTTGTTTCAGTTTTAGTTATTTTAGTACATCAAATTAAACTAAATGAAAATGACAAAAATTGCCATGTTGACTAGGTGAGTATTTTTTCTGTTAACATTAATTGTATTCCAACAACAAACATGTTCTTTAAGGTTTTATTTAACTATGCTAACCCAAAGGTAAACGTGAATTAGCACAGAAGACCTGCTCCTTCATGCTGGTTGATTGTGGTGTGTGTTGACAGGCGTCTGATGATCGAGAAGATCGCCGCTCATCTGGCAGACTTCAGTCCTCGTCTGCAGAGTAACACTCGCGCTCTCTATCAGTACTGTCCCATTCCTGTGGTCAGCTTCCCTCAGCTGGACAACGAGCTCTTCTGCAACATCTATTACCTGCGGCACCTGTGTGACTCCAGCCGCTTCCCCGACTGGCCCATACGAGACCCGGTACACACATCTACAGACACATTCAGAGCCTGCTTTCTTGTGTGATGCGAAGGCCTTCTGTGATGGTCTGTGCTCTGCAGGTGAAGCTGCTGAAGGACACTCTGGACGCCTGGAAGAGAGAGGTGGAGAAGAAGCCGCCCTCCATGTCTGTGGATGACGCCTATGAAGTGCTGAACCTCCCTAAAGGACAGGGACAGTGAGTCTCTTTTGTAGTACTTTATTTTTTTGCACTTCTAAGGTCCTGTGTCCACCAAAGCGTTTTTAGCCAGCTGAAAACGCCAGGCGCTCTGCTGAAAACGCCCAGCTGTGAGCGCTTGAGAGCGCTTTTTGTGGCACAGCGTTTTTTCAGTTGAGACGCTTTGGTTGCTATGATACGGAATATCCGCTAAACTGTTACTTGTATCTGATTTGGTAGATAATTTGTTTCTGACTAAAATGTTGACACAATGTAGAGTACTTGCTCTGGTCCTTAAATTTATATGGACAACAGGATTAGTCCGTTTAAAAAAACAAAAACAAAACAACTGAAGCAAGAAAATTATTCTGACTGCCAGACATTAACGTTACATATATAACGTTACATTTTAACAAACAAAACGGTTTGCAAGCTAGGCTACATAGCTTTTTCCTTATTTCCTAATTAGTTGTCTAGGTAACTGCTGCTTACCTGGTAGACCCACGGCAAAGGAAATGTTCCTCCAGGCATTATTCTTCAAATTTACATTGTGGTAGTCCGGGGAAGTCATCTGGTAGAGACATGGATGCTCAGAAACCAGCAATATTAATTTCTCCTCCATTTTTCCAGTTGTTGTGCTTGTTGACACGTCGTTGTAACAAAATGACTGTTGTGACAGTTGATCGGTGTGGAATTTGCCCCGCCCCTCCTGCACTCTGATTGGTTAGCTGACTAGAAAGTGACAGTGATGAGCGCAGCGTTTTATCCAAAGTTGAACATTCTTCAACTCTCGGCGCCGAGAAAAGAGCGTGAAAAAGACGCTCAGCGCTCGGCACGCTCCTGGCGTTTTAAAAAACGCGGCGCTCCCATTGAGAACAACTGAAAAAACACGCTAGCCGCGGGGAAAAACGCTTTGGTGGACACAGGGCCTTAGTGCCAAAACCAGTCATTGTTTAGTTTCACTTCACCATTTCATCACATTCTGACCCTTGAGAATTAAAAAACCTTGTTTTGCTACTGTACCTTTAAGACTTTTATATGTATATTACTCATTTTTTTGATTGCTTAACCTCTTTTTGCATGCAGAGAGAATACACATCTCTCGTTCTGACAGCTTCTCAGGTGACACTATAACATCAGAGAGTAGTGATTATTGATTGTAATCTTTGTTGCTTTTTTTAAAGGCATGAAGAGAGTAAAATAAGGAAAGCTTACTTCAGATTGGCCCAAAAATACCATCCAGACAAAAATCCGGATGGCAGGGTATGTACAACAGTTCACTGAGTGTCATTATCAGTGAATGAATTCTAAACTATAACTAAGCGTGCTGTGTGTGTGTGTGTGTGTGTGTGTGTGTGTGTGTTCAGGACATGTTTGAGAAGGTCAACAAAGCCTACGAGTTCCTGTGCACCAAATCGGCCCGTATTGTGGACGGTCCTGACCCAGAGAACATCATCCTGATCCTCAAAGCCCAGAGCATCCTGTTCAACAGACACAAGCAGGGTTCGACACGCTCCTCTCAGACACAGCTCCTGATCTCCAGACGCTCAGAGACTGATCTCCTTCTCTCTCTCCTCAGAACTGGAGCCGTATAAATACGCCGGCTACCCCATGCTAATTAAGACCATCACCATGGAGACGGGTGACGGGCAGCTGTTCTCCAAGACCTCGGCTCTATTACCTGCTGCTGCTGAGCTGGCCTTCCACACCGTCAACTGTTCAGCGCTGAATGCGGAGGAGCTGCGGCGGGAGAACGGCATCGAGGTCAGCATGTGTTGACATTACCAGCAGCAGTCACACTGTGGCTCTTCACTGTCTGCTGAGTGTTGATGAGGCTTGTGTGTTGTGTGTCAGGTGCTGATGGAGGCTCTGTCTCGCTGCGTGTCTGTGCTCACCGCCTCCAGCAGACCGGAGGACATGGCAGTGCAGGTACGGCTTCAGCACAGCCACACGAGTAAAGAGTGAATACAGTGAGCTCAGAGTGTGATTTTGTGTGCATTGTGGGTGTTCTTCAGGTGTGCGGGCACGTCTGCAGGTGCTATAGCGTTGCTGCTCAGTTCGAGGAGTGCAGAGAGAAGATAGTCGAGCTTCCCAACATTATTAGAGATGTTTGTCACATTCTCTACTACAGCAAGGTAAGAACACACATCGCTTTATTACACGAATCTGACTCCTGTCCACTGTCAGAGAGCAGGACACAGCTCTGCTTCTCAAATAGAAAACCTCTTTCTGTATAATTTAATGAGGTATAAAACTTTACAGACACTGGCCCTTAAAAGTGTCATATTGTACTCTTTTTATTAAGGTATAGGAAATATTATAGTAAAGATCACTTGAAATTTTAATCAAGATTTCTTCCATCAAAAATAAAATTGTTTTATTGCTATAATTATTACAAATTGTTTGTGTGGCCCTGCAGCACAAAAGCAGTCTCTTGGCCAAATATTGTCCTATCCTAACAAACCATACATCAATGGAAAGATTATTTATTCAGCTTTCAGATGATGTATAAATCACAATTTCCAAAAATTGACCCTTATGACTGGTTTTGTGCTCCAGGGTCACATATTATTTATTATTATACATTTTATAAATTATATAAATAAAAGGTATTCATTTATTATAAATAAATGTTTTATTATTACATTTTATTTTAACGCTTTACAATGTCTTTGTTACACGTGTAACATGTACTATATATAGTAATAACAGTAAATTATGCATAAATACTAGCAACTAACCTGAACCTGTTAACGACTCATTTGTCCAGTTAATGGTCTGGATAGACTAGTGAGAGAGTTGTGTTGTATTGTTTGTGTGGATAAGTGATGTTTTCATACACCGAGTCTCAGAGTGTTTCTGTTTGCCGTGTCTCAGGGTCTGCCGCGCTTGGCGTCTCTGGCGGTGGAGTGCGTCAGCTCCTTCGCGGTGGACTTCTTCCTGCAGACGCACCTGTACCAGGCTGGAGTTCTGTGGCACCTGCTCTTCACGCTCTTCAGCTACGACTACACGCTGGAGGAGAGTGGCGTCCAGGCCAGCCAAGACACCAACCAGCAGCAGGTGTGCAACAGCCTGGCCAAGCTGAGCGTGGGGGCCCTCGGGCGGCTGGCGGGGTACAGCGGGGCCCAGGGCCCAGAGGAGGGCCCCCCCGGGGAGCCCAACGGCGGAGGAGCCGCAGCACACCTTCCAGAGAACCCCGCCATCCGGAAGAGCCTGGCTGCCATGCTGACGCCCTACATCTCACGCAGACTGGGCCGCAGCACGCCCGCGGAGGTACAGGAGGAGCCAGCAACTGCACACAGTCACACAACAGAGGCTGGAGAGACGGTTTGTTCATGTGTGGTTCATCTGTTGGTTCTGCAGGTCCTGAAGCTGCTGAACAGTAACTCGGAAACGCCGTACTTGATCTGGAACAACGGCACGCGAGCGGAGCTGATGGAGTTCCTGGAGGAGCAGCAGGAGAGCAACATCAAGAGAGTGAGACGCTCCTCACGATCCTCTGCTGCTCCTCACACTCCTCTGATTCAGATCACACTCACTCTTTGTGTGTTTGCAGGGCGAGTGCGACACGAGCTTCGGCTCAGAGTTCCTGTTCAGTGAACACGGGAAGGAGCTGATCGTGGGAGAGATCTTCGTTAGGGTTTATAACGAGCAGCCTGCGTTTCCTCTGGAGGTGAGAGACGCCTACACTACTGTACTGACGATCCAGAAGAAGTCTCTTCTGCATTTATTTGATCAAAAATGTACAAAAAACGGTGAAATATTATTACAGTTTAAAACAGCTGTTTTCTATGTGAATCTCTGTTAAACTGTAATGTATTTCTGTGATGCGCAGCTGTATTTTCAGCATCATTACTCCAGTCTTCAGTGTCACATGATCTTCAGAAATCATTCTAATATGCTGATTTGCTGCTCAACAAACATTTCTGATTATTATCAATGTTGAAAACGGTTGTGCTGCACAATATTTCTGTGGAAACCGTGATGCATTTTATTTTTCAGGATTCACAGATGAATAGAAAGTTCAATACAAAGGTTTAATGCACCCTTGATGAATGAAGTATTCATTTCTTTAAATGTAGAGTGTCTGACAGCTGTTAAACACTCTGGTCTGTGTGTGTTTGTCAGTATCCGAAGGCGTTTGCATCGAGTCTGCTGGACTATGTGGGCTCTCAGGCTCAGTATCTGCACACGCTGCTGGCGATGACGCAGACTAATAAAGTGGAGTCGCAGCAGCACGCTCAGAGACTGCGCTGGGCCGAGATGGCGCTGGAAGCTCTCCGCAACGTCATCAAGAACAACCCAGGTGCCTGAAACACAGCAGACTGATGCATGTGTGTGTAGAGGCTGGTTACTGATGTGTGTGTGTGTGTTTCGCAGGCTCTGAGACGGAGTGCATCGGTCACTTCAAGCTGCTCTTCTCTCTGCTGAGGGTCCACGGCGCCGGAAGAGTCCAGCAGCTGGCTTTAGAGGTGCATTAGAAACCAGAAGTCTGTGCTTCATACTTCACTCACATTGAAACATCATCTCTGTTAACACTGTGGTTTGCTGTAGGTGGTGAACACGGTCACATCAAACCAGGACTGCGTGGTCAACATCGCTGAGTCTCTGGTTCTGCCCAATCTGCTGGTGCTGCTGCACTCCTTACCCTCCAGTAAGACTAATGAACCATGACATGCGTTCAGAACAGATGGATCCTCACTGGGACTGCTGTGTTGCAGGGTTACTGCAGTTAACTAAAACACAAACAGGAACTAAAATTAAAAACATAAAAAATATATGATTTTGTTACTTAAAATAAATGTTATTAATGGTAATGCTATATATATATATATATATATATATATATATATATATATACTGAACAAA